CTTCCAGGGATGGGGCATCCACAACCTTATGGAGATGGTTCCTGCTGAAGTTTCAGCCAGGGAAGCCTCGTTCTGTCAGGGCTCATAATGGGACCAGCTCATTGTGTGGGGGTTAGTTCCTGCCCATGGGGAATATTCCCATTCCCTGTGAACAGCCACTTCTTGCTCTGGCTCACAAATAGCCAAAATGTCACCCCAAAAGCCTCCAGCCCACTCAGCTATGCCCAGCCCTTCCTGTAGGTCCAGAGGTAGATCCAGAGGTAGATCCTGAGGGATCCCTTACCTAGTTCTCTCTATCAGCAGCACTGGGCTGTAGATCCAAAGGTAGACCCTGAAGTAGATCCAGAGGTAGATCCTGAGGGACCCCTTACCCAGCTCTGCTCACCCCTTCCTCAGCCCCCTCCATCAGCAGTTCCTGGGCTGTAGATCCAGAGGAAAATCCCAAGGGATTCTTTACCCAGGTCTGCTCTGTGAGCAGCTGCCGGGTGGTAGATCCACAAGTAGATCCTGAAGAAGATCCTGAGGTAGATCCCGAGGATCCCTTACCCCATCCTGGTGTGATTCCCTTTGCTGGAGCACGTTCCTCCCGTCCTGCCCTGCCTCTCCAGCGAGGTCTGAGTGGGATCTCTCCCCCAGCTCCACGGCCGATCCCGGGAGCAGCGGTACACACGGAGCGCCGACTGGGAATACATCGCCGAGTGCGCCAAGATCGCCAGCCCCATGCCCCTGTTTGGTACGTGGGTCTTGTTCCTTCACCTCTTTGATTTGAAATACCTTAAAAAAAAAGGGAAAAAAACCCCAGATTCCCAATGATATTTAGCCTGGGGGAAAGTTTGGAGCATCCCTGGTGGAGTTACCGGCAGCTCTACTTGTGTTTGGGGATGAGGAGAAGGGACAGGAAGGACATGAACCACTTGGGTTTTACCAGGTGCTTTTTGGGCCCCTGTGGCACAGACAATCCCCAAACCTTCCAGGTAGGAGCTGGGAGTGGAGGAGAAGAGAGGAGAAGGCTCCTCTTTTCCTTGTAAGAGGAATCATAAATATCCACCCCATAAACATCCCTGGGAATCTCTAACCTTGGCTCTTTGAACAGTCTGGTTCTTGGACTGTGTGTCCATTTTGAATTTTATCTCGTGCCTGGATTAACTCATTTTGACTTGTCCTTATGGCTCACTTTGACCTCTGGCTTCTCCCTCCTTTCCGGGCAGGAAATGGGGATATTTTATCTTACGAAGATGCAAATCGAGCCATGGAGATGGGAGTTTCTGGAATCATGATTGCAAGGCAAGTGCTTGTGTTTCCCTTCACTTCTGAGCTCTTTTTGGTTTCAGAGTTAAAAAAAAAAAAAAGGCATTTAAAAAAAATCCCTAAACAACCCCCAAAACACGAGAAGTTTCCTCGTGTTGAAACCGCTCTGAAAATTGATAAAATCAATTTGGAACGGTGGGAAGTTCCAGCAGCTTCTTCTTGGAATGAGAAACAAAATTAAAAGCAGAATTGGCTGGTAAAAAGGGCTGGGAAGTGACTAAAATCAGTTGGCATCTTCAGGAGAATCAGTGATGGGAATAACAATGCCTGTTTTGTTTTTTTTTTTGGCTGCAGAGGGGCACTCATCAAACCATGGCTTTTCACCGAAATTAAGGAGCAGAGACACTGGGATATCTCCTCCAGGGAAAGGTTTGACATCCTCAAAGACTTCACCAACTACGGCCTCGAGCACTGGGGGTCGGACACTCAGGGAGTGGAGAAAACCAGGAAATTCCTGCTGGAATGGCTCTCTTTCCTGTGCAGGTAACTGTGCCCAGCCAAAACTGGATTGATCCAAAAGGATCTTTGAAAAATATTTAATTAAACTCCAGCACTCACTGCTGTTCCATCCCATCCCAGGTACATTCCAGTTGGATTATTGGAACATCTACCTCAGAGAATTAACGAGCGGCCACCGTATTACCTGGGGAGGGACTACCTGGAGACGCTCATGGCCAGCCAGAACGTGGATGATTGGATCAGAATTAGGTAATAAAATGTGGAATTTAATTTAAATTGCTAAAAAGGGACGTGGCAGAGCCCCCATAGAGCCACAGGGCCGTGTGACAACCGTGGGCTGAACACAAACCTCTCCTTGGGTTTGGTTTTGTCGTTGTCCTTGTGTTTCTTCCCTGGAAGTGCCCCAAGGCCAGGTTGGATGAGGCTTGGAGCAACCTGGGCTAGCAGAAGGGGCTGGAACAAAATGGTCTTTAAGGTCTCTTGATTGATTCTGTGATTGATTCTTTCTTCCAGTGAGCTGCTCCTGGGCCCTGTCCCTCCCAGCTTCACCTTCCTGCCAAAACACAAGGCCAATTCCTACAGATAGGGCTGGCCAGGCCCTTTCCCGTGGCGTGGAGGCAAGAGGAGGCGTTGGGATGGGGTGTCTGGAGGAGCAGGATTCCTCAGCTGCGCTCAGAAGTGGAATAAAGCTGACGTTTTTAGAAGCTGGTGGGTTTTTTTGCCTTCCTGCCCCAGGCCTCAGGTCTGGCAGGAGAACATTTATTTGTGAGCAGGAGGGATCTTTGGTCTCCAGAGCTGTCCCAGCTCAGCAGGAGGCCTCTGTGCCTTACCAGGGTGTCCTTGGGAGTGACAAACTCCAAGGACAAGGAGCAGCAATGTCCCCCCTGCCCCTTCTGCTGCCCCCCCACAACCAGGGGGACCCCGAGCTGATGTTCAGGGGTCCAAAGAGGAGCTTCTCAGAGGTTCCACAGGCTCTTTGGGTGTATGTAGGGGGTCAGCCTGGAGGGTCTCAGCGGCGTCCCCACACCTGGGGACCCAGGTGGCACCAGCAGAGGTGGGAGAGCGGTGGGCCCAGCCCCTGCAGTGCTGTTGACACCCATCACTGCCACCTCCACGGGGGCATCCCGTGGTGACAGATCCCATGGATCCCATGCTGACACACCCCCCCAGCCCCTCTGCTGACCCCAGAGGGACAGGGCAGG